AAAACGAGAACAAGGTATCTGATGTCAGAAGAAACAAAATCGCTCTAACTCAACAAAGTCTGAAGCAATTTATTCTGTATTAACATTGCTTGAACACTTTTCTTACCAAGGAAACTAACTTTTCTATTACACAATATCTATGCATTTATTGACGTTTGACGCCTTCAAAATTTTCATTACAACAAACCGGATGTTTTTTTAAACATCCGTGTTTCTACAAATTTGGATTACGTTTATCCTTTTATCCATTTACATGTAGAGCTTAAACCCAAACATGTTAAAGCTAAAACTCAAGGAACGCTATGAAATGGCTAGTGCAAATTTAGTGTGAACAAGTTTTAAGACAAACTGCAACTAGCAACCGTAATAGTCTACAATACCGGAAGAACAAAATATTAACAGTGACTGACAAAACATAATACTTCTAGGACACTTCATTGTATAAGTGGACTAAAAAAAACCAGATAAACACGCCAAGAAAAGAAATTTAGTTTTGTGAGACGATTTTGCAGACGAAATGAAATGATTTCATGTTATTTTCAAAAAAGGGTTGAAAAAGAGACCGACAGTCCATGTACACTAAAACACAAGATTTTTGATTTTGTGGATCAATTTCAGATAGGCTAAAACGCAACTAAACGCATAAACAACTTGTGTAGATGTGGGAATTTTATGTTTTCAACACCAAATTCTACAAATATTTATTCAAAATTCCCAAATTAGGTTAATGACCCTCGTTCTAATTTAACACATCAAATTTAGTATATATACAGCAAAACAACAGCTGTAGGGGCGTGGCTAGGGGGGTCCTGGGGTGCCCATGACCCCCCTTTTTATAAGCCTTTTTTTAAACCAAACAAGCTACAACAGGTGGCGTAAACGAAATGACAATCTGGTAAATACCCTCACTTTGACAGAGTGTGACCCCCCCGTTTTGAAAAATCCTGGTTACGCCCCTGAACTGATAAATAATCGCATGTTAGAACTCCTCCTTGACATATCGTACAGGATAGTTGTTAGAAAGCAGTCTTTCTGTAAACATGTGTCAATGGACCAAATAGTTGACATCGATCTTGTTTCAGCACAAAGTAACTGATACAATAAGCATTTTAGCCCCTCGTCAGGTGTGGAATAGATAAGACAGTTGGTCTTCACTCAGTGTGCAGAAGAGGTTCCAGTTTTTTAACCTGGGGGATGTGTAGGTTGGGAAAGGCTTTTGCTTCTTGACCTCACTGAGCCATGAGAAGAACAAAAGAGTTTTGAAATGTTTTTCAAAAAGCTTATAGCAAATTCCGTTTGGTAGCTGGCATAATCGTGAAACCCAACCAACCTGTTAGGCTTACATGGGAGACAACAAGGAAGTAATAAGTTTCATGTACCACGTTCAAAATCAGAGTAAATAAGGTACATACATTCATTGAAAGTGCAAAGATTCGGTCGACTTTACGAAGAGCTAATCCCCGGGTTCTAGACTACCTAGTCTGCATTATTCTTTGACAATTTAGCCAGCAGACGTGAAAAGCCATGCAGCCAAGGAAGTATTATGTTCAATCTATTTTATTCTTTGACAAGAAATTTTCAATCGTAATCTTGATTTACGTTGAAGAAATTCAAGCTATCTTTGTTCTTTATTGCACTACACCTTTGGAATGAACCTGCTATCAAGAATATTAATTCACTTAAAAAGAAATTATATCTACACGCTGCCTAATTTCTAAAGTTATCGTGATATTCTAAGTCGAGAGGCTGATTCGCGGTTTGCTCACATACAAGTCAGTACAAAGTAATACCTAGACTAGGACGCACAAATATACACGTCATGCTCTTTATAACTACAAAAATATAAAAGCATTTAATTAATTACACGTTCCGCGACACAAAACTTGAGTAAATATGATACAAAACGTTTCTACAAGTCTTACCAAATTACGTATTTAAAAAAGAAAAACCTTTGTAGTTAGAAAAAATATATCAAGCAAAACGCCTCATCTATAGTCCTTCAAAAAGACCGTCTATAATTTTGTAGTCAACAACTAAGAAAAGAAACAAAAGAAGCCAAGACTGTGCCTTAATTATTGACTATTTTGCATGAGAAACGGCTCTCGAGAAGGAAACTGGACCACACTCACTTGGGGAAGCAATATGTTCCTCTAAGCTTTTAGAAATTAGTTTCATGGCCTGGTCCACCATCCCCTCCTGGGTTACTAGCCTGGGATGTCTCCTTAGTGCTGGTACCTGGTTCTTGACTGTTACTATTTTCAGGCGCTGGAGCAGCCTGGGTTCCAGTAGCTGGTCCCTGACTGTTGTTACTGTCAGGCAATGTAACATCCTCCTTCAGAAATTGAGTGATGCCAGCATATTGAGTTCCAGCATAAGGTTCGGGCTTATTGATCGGGGGTAGAGCTTGAGGTGAGGTGGACACTCCAGGCAGTTCTTTCATTTGATGGAAGTCACCCAAGCCAGCACAGAGAACCTCACCAGGCTTGGGTTTCTGTTTCAAGTGAATATGTAAAAATAAATTATTTTCCATCGCTTCTGGTCAAGGACAACCGATGTCTCGCATCACGCTCTCAATCCATACATGGCTTGACTTAAGAAGCACTACCAAGATATCTCTGAATGACTGTTTCTCTAATTCAATCAATAAGAGAGTCTGTGCTTTCTACGTCAAAGACACGGACTTTTTTAAACGGAATGTCAGACGCCTCTGTTGTGCAGGATGAAATAAGCGCACAATACACTATATTATTTCTGAGCATATCACGTCATTGTTTGTGGAGCTACTACAATTCAGTGATCACGCAAGGGCAAAAAAGTCACGAGACACAACCATATCAAAGTGGCTATGACAACGCATAGGCAATTTTGATGCCACTGAACTGAGTTTTTAATCCATAGGTCATATATCATTTATATATTGAGGTACAGAGGCGAAATAATGATAAAGCCCATTGGCATTGTTACGAATTGAAATAGTGCAAAACGTAACGGTAACAGAATACATGTACATAAGGAGATGTGACATCGTGGAAAACATTCATGAAGTCATTCTAGGCGGTAACATTTTCTTTCCTATCTATTTTTCGTTCTTCGTTTTTCCTGCCAATATCATTGCTTTTCCTCCCCTTGCACTTATTTTCGGATGGCTTCTTCGTCTTGGGCTAAGCCCATCCATTTTTCTGCTCGATTGATATAAGATTGTGTATATATGTCTTTGATGAGATCTAAAAGAGAAGTTTAGTAAGGCATTTTCGATAGTAGGTTCTGGGGTCAATTCCATGTGCGGGCTACGAAATTTGTTTGTTCTTTTTTTTTGTTATCTTCCCGGTGAGATCTTAGAAATAAAATACTAGGCAAAGCGTGGAATCACTATATCACAAGGACAGAATGCGACAACGCCAGACCGTCGAAGTAAAGGTCTGTTCAGCGAGGTTAGCACTTGGTTGACCAACTAAGAATACCGCGTGTCGTAATGATTTTTTTTTTCGTTTCCGTTTTTATTTTCTTCCGTTCTCAAGGAGATGCTAGTGGCTGACTGCAGATCTCCCAGCCCTGTGTGACGTCGCTTCTTTTTATCAACTATTTGTTGCTATCATTTCGCCATGTCAATATTTTAATTTACAGTACCGTAAAAATTATAGCGAAACGCAGCATTCGAATTCTCCTCATTCTCCCTTCCGTTTCCCGTCTAAAAATTCTAATCACGGCTTAATCATTCGAAAATTTATACAGTTCATCAACCTTGTGATTTTCAATATCTTCATTTCCGACAGTCTGGTACAGTCAAACCGGTATTAAGAGGACACCTTCGGGAAATGCAGTACTATAATAGACGAATTTTGATATATTAAAATTCATCCCAAAACAATAGACCTCAGTACGAGGCTGTGGGGAATACTACAGAGTTTGTGGGGTTTATTCCCCAGAGCCTCGTGCTGAGGTCTATTGTGTTAGGCGCAATTTTAATATATCGAAATTGGTCTATTAGCCTCTGCATGAGACGTTCGTTCAGGGTAAATTATTCACTCAGTCAGAAAATTGTTTCACCTGCACCTCGAATAACTTTAACTTCGCTACGATCACGAAAGCCTTAAAAATTGGTCAGCGGATTCACAAAAAAGTCTTCCGGGAAGCGAAGGAAGAAGCGAAGCAGCGAAGGAGTGAATGCCCCATCCATACCTCTAACTTGGAAATACTATTTACCAGGTTAAAAATGAGTTCGATGTGTGTACAGAATATTCCAAAGGNGCGTCACTAAACTGCAGCAACGAATAAGAAGAGGAAACAAAAGAAGATAAGTCGTTGGCATACCTTTTTCGATTTTTTTGACATGTCAACTTGTGCATAAGTGGCCTCTGGTACTTCTTCTTTTTTCTTCTTCTTCTTCTTAGATTTATCCACGGCTGCATACTGAGGTGGTTCAGCTTGTGGCTTTTGCTCTTCATCTTTCTTATCTTTCTTCTTTCCTTTCTTCGCAGACTTATCAACAACAGCATAGTCAGGTATAGCTGCAGGACCAGATGCTCCCTGGTGTTTTGTCGTATCAGTCATTTCTGAGGGCCGAGGTCCAGCTTCTGCATACCCGTTGTTGACTTGGGAATTCCACTTGTCGTCTCCTGGAGTGCTATTCTCTCTGGAACTGAAATATTGGAAGACATTTTAAAATATAAAAAAAAAGAAAAAAAAAAAAGAAAGAAAGAAAGAAAGAGAATCAACATTGTTTTTCAGTCTTTTAAAGACCACTTTCGTTTTTTAAAGTGAGGAGGACGTTTCAGTTTGACGTAAACGGAGTGTTTGTATAACTATGATTAAATTAGAATTAATTTTATTTGTCTATTTATTTGCATCTATCCATATTTATCTAGTTTTTAAACATTATTTATCTATTTTTTTTAATATAGTTTTTTAGCGTAGTTTTTAGCTCATTTTACATTATTATACCTTTTAGTTTTTAATTGTTTTATAGCTCATTTATTCAATGCGCAGGTGATCATATATTCATGTAACCTGCGAAATATAAATTACTATTATTATTTTTATAGTTGTTGTTTTTATTATTATTCGTATTATTGCTAGTATTAGTATTAGCATTAGTATCATGATTATGATTGTGATTGATTATTATTTTTATTATTTTTATTGTATGAAAAGACGGCAAGCCGGGTGGTTAGGGTGCCGGACGTAAAATCTGGAGATCGCAGGCTCAGGTCTCGTTCTGACCACTAGCTGGGGTTATTCTCAGTAGTCTCGGTAGTCTTTTTAACCATATACTTGCGTACATGTTTATAAAGCAATATTAACTTCACTGAATATATTAAGCACAATTATATGGCGAATATTCGTTTCACTTTCAGAACGAAATTGTGTCAGTTTTCAGTTGTCCCGTATTCTGTTTAATCTTATTCAGCTGCTGTTTACAATTTTGTGCTCATTCAATAGTTTTTATACATTTACCAACGTTTCCTAAAACACGTTTGGTATTAAACTTTGTATATGTAAACAATAGCCTCCATTTGGCGTGAAAATATGTTAGGATATTTGTCCGCGGACATTATCTGTTCCGAGAAGCGAACAGTTTTCCGAGAGCGTAGCTCAAGGACAACTATGAGCTTCGAGGAACAGATAACGTCCAAGGACAAATATCCGAGCATATTTTCGCCCCAAATTGAGGCTGCTGTGTTTATTATTCTTCAAATCTTTTTCGCAACAGAAAATTGGGGAATATTCGGTCACATGACGCGTTTAGACTAATCACGAGCGAGCGAAAATATTTGATGGATTATAAAACTTAGTAGAGTTATGACATTGGTTTAATCTGTGGTTCAGTATTTACTAAACTTGATTGACAACTAGATCACATGGAATAAAATAAAAAGAAAAGAAAAAAAGGCACTTACAATGGTTGCTCTTCAGATGTTGAATGAACTGTAATGAAAAAATACGCATGGAACAGAATTACTCCCAAGCAAGACAGTCCTTAAACTAAAAATGCCTACGCTGCAGTCAGGGATGGACGTCAGAAATAAAAATTCAAAGTTGTATCTGACGCTGACCCTGCTGAAAAGTTAAAACAACAGTTATAGCAACTTGCAATATTCCAAGTATTTACAGGTCACCCGAGTGATTTGTCATGTCGCACAGTATTCGTATTTCGTTTCATTTGGCTGGCTTAGCACGTGCAGAGTTGTGAACCGTGAGATAGCAACTAATGAGCCAAATCGGAGTTTCAAGAATTAGTGTAGTGTGCATGCGCTTTTATCCTTCATTTATTCTCTTCTTTTGTTTTCTTTTTTAAAACGAGAGAATTTTTAGGAATAAAAACGCATGTACACTGCATTAATTCTTGAAACTCCGATTTCGCTTACTTCAGTTGGGTTTTAAACCGACGAAGGCGGAAGTTCTTCGGTCGAAACGTTTTTCTATGAGTTGCTACAACTGTTGTTTCAACGTTTCAATCGGTCAGTGTCAAACACAACTTGCATGTATATTACCGAAGACAACCTTAACTGAACAGTGACCACTGACCAAAATCAATATTCTCCATACAAAACTAATACAAATTCAGGCAGAAAGCCCAAGAAAATACACCAAGTTAGCTGTAGGACTTCAATACCGCATTGTCACAAATTACAGGTAACATGGAATACAATGTATATCGAGCATCGAGACTTCCTGTGTAACTAACGAAACTGATGGCTGCGTCCACTGGCAAGTGAAACACTTAGTATATCAAGAAATGGTCCATTGTAGTGGGTCCATTTTGGTGATTGAACATAAACAATAGCTCTTTTGTTAAACCTAAACAATAGCCCTTTTGTTATTGGAAGCGCCGAGTTCTTTTTTTCGAAGCTTAGTGAGAAAACTTGTGATCATCGGAAAAATTGTCGGCATGACGAATTAGCTACCTTAGGGCAGTGAGGAGTGTAATTTTTGATATCACAAGATCAATTTCCACCGGGGGATCCCAAAGGGACACTTGACCGGCTGTATGAGTATCAGCCAGACTCTCATCAATAAAGTAAGAGCTTTAGGCCTATTCCAAACGTCGTGCCACTGCCGTGCCGAACGAAATTCAAGAACTTAATTTAACTTAAGCACGACAGTTGCACAACATATATTTTTGTAATCGGCTATTAAGGCATGGCCCGCCTAGATTAGCCTTTGCTAGTTGCGGGCATGCGACTTGGCTTCAAACGGCGTGCTCTTGCAGGGCTGAACTGAATTCATAGCCTGTTACCAGCTGTCGTTTTAGCAAAATTCCGATGAAGTAATTTGCCTGGGAGCCTCTGCGTTTTTTCAGCATTAGTCACATGACCATGGGCGTTGCCTGATGACGTCATCACTAGTGTTGCTGATCATGAAAAAGTTAAAACACATGAAATAACTCTGAAATAACTAAAGATGACGAGGTTATATGAGAATAAATTTTCTCTAACAACGGCTCGAAAAGATCGGTTAATGGGCCCTTAAACCTCCCGAAATTTGCTCGTCCTCTTTACTTTTTTTTGTCATCATGCTTTTTGGCACTTCCATAAGTGATTCAGAAGAAAATAAAAGAAAATGGTGAACATTTTTGTACTTTTTCAACGCAAATGAAACCGGTCTAGATGCCGATCCAGATGGGAAAATCAAGACTGTGGTCAATATCGATTTCAGCCAATCAAATTCTTGAATTCGGTAGTTCCCAGTTCTTGTGAGACACAGCCATATAATAATCTCCCCATACAGACTGACTAGGCTCAGTTAATAAGATGTTTATGATATGGCACAAACAAGAACAATTTAATTCTTTTAATGTAACTGGTTTGTACTAACTGACACTTTGCTTGTGAACAACGATGAGCTGAATTTAATTCTGCCAAAGTTTGCTCATCCTCTTTACTTCTCTTTTCTCATCAGGATTTTTGGCACTTCCACAAATAAATATTGTTCGATGAAAATAGTCAATGATTTTGCGTTTTAGTTTGCAACTTTTCGACTGCAAAACACCACCGGTCTAGATGCCGGTCTAGATGCCGGTCTAGATGCCGGTCTAGATGGGAAAATCTAGACCGCTTTCAATATCGATTTCAGCCAATCAAATTCGTAAATTTGGTAGTTCCCAGTCCTTGTGAGACAGAGCCATATAATAAAGTTTAATATTAAACCGCAACCTGATTTAACAGCTCGAATGTTGACTGAATTACAAACAATAAATGAAACTAAAAGCCAAAGTATATTGACTTATCCTACTCACCTCTGGTGTCTTTCCGACATTTCCTCCTCTTTTGTACCCAGCATGCAATGATACCGACAATGATACAAATGACGACCAATCCCGCAAGAGCAATGACAATTACGATCACCACATTAACTAAAGAAACAAACAAACGAACAAATAGTGCAAGAATTACATGACCTGCGGAGCAAGCGTTCCTGTGCAAAGAGCTTTTCCGCATTCTGACCGCGCTTAAACCGGAGCGAGAGAAAATGTTCGACGACGCAGGGGATGGCGGGGCGAGAGAGAGGAAACGCTTGCCCACAAACTCCTCGATTTTAAAACACCTGTTCGCCCATGAACGGGGCTCCTGATTGGTGCGGCGTGGTCATCTTAATTGACAAGTGTATCAACTTCGCTTAAATGATACCAAGAATAACTCGGGCGTGACTTGCGCAATGTCATGGAGAAAGGTTTGTAGCATTGTGCTAGCCTTAGCGAAGATCTATGAGACTTGACGTTGATGATACTTATTCGATTTTACTCAGACGACACCATCTGTTAGAGGATAGATACTTGGTGACTCTATTACCCGCTGAATGCAGCAAAAGCTTTTAAAACCTTTTTCAGTTGCTGTTAATTATCGATCGTGCGCGAAGATCACACAGGAACCAGGGAAGAAGAACCAATCCTTGATAGTCTTATTTGGCAACCTCGCTTAACTTTAGAGTCGTTTTTCGTGTCCAGATAACCAAAATGACCGAATTTTAGAAGACAGCGACTGGTTGTTGTTTTCCCTGCAAAAGCGAATTTACTCGCGCTGACAATTTTCAAACTAAAGCTTCGGATTTCCGGGTGATTCTATAATTCAACGGTTAAATATTTTTTAGCTCCAAGGGAATGAACTGACCATCAAGCTAATGAACGCTTAGAGTTAAACCACAAGAAAAGCTGGTCTTAAGCCGAACATTTGGGTTATTGCCCTTTAAATGAGTATGTAGATACAAGTAGCCGTGGCAAAGCTTGGTGACAAGGTTGTCAGTCAATAAATGAACTCAACCGTGAAAACCAGTGGGCTTTTTTTCAAAATTGAGGGGTTTACGGGCAAGCGTTCCCTCCCTCGCCACCGCAACTTCTTCATTGAGTTTTTGCCCTCGCTGCGATTTACGCTTTACGCTTGCTATGTAGGCTAAGGATTACATTAGCGAAAAATCTAGAAATATACGGCAATAACAACAATTAAATACTCTACAGCAAGTGGGACGTGAGGCGTCTGAAAAGACAACAATTTTAGAGACTTCCTCCA